AAGTCCTGTTTCCTTTTTCATCTTCTGTTTATTCTAGCCACTAGTGATTGTGGGAGTTTTGAAATCTACTATTATGGTATTACCTAGCTCTTCAATTTTGTCAGTTTGTTTTGTATATATGGATATATCACTCAAAAATATAAACTGCCTTGTCTTCCTGGTGTACTGACTCTTTCTCTGTTAACAGTTTTTGACTTAAGGTCTGACAACTCTTGTAGTATTTTGGTTATAATTTGTAAAGAGTATTTTCATTTTCAGCTTGTCAGTATCTTTATATTAAGATACTTCCTTTCTAGATAATTGCATTTTGGTTTTTTTCAGATCCATTAACCTATGTTTTTAGATTGAGTTTAATACATTTACATTTAAGGTAATCACTGATCAAAGAAGGATTTGCCATCATTGTCTGTTTGGGCTGCTGTGAACTAAATAAGCAATACTATTTCTCCCCCCCCCCCAGATCTGCAAGTTACCATGTCTAAGATCTAGCAGTGTATCTGGTGAGGACACACTTACTCATAGATGGTACTTTCTTGCTATATGTTTCACATGGGTGGAAGGAGCAAGGTAGTTCTCTGAGGTCCCTTTTATAAAGACTCATACATTTACAAGGGCTCAACCTCATCAGTTACCTATGCACCACCCAAAGGACCATGACATTACTACTCTAGTAACATACTACAGTAATAATATTACTACTAACATTACCTTAATAACATTGCTACCATTATATGAATTTCAACATATGAATTTGAAGGAATGCAATCTTTCAGATTATAGTATTTTATCAGATTCAGTCTCTCTAGAGTGGTAGTTCTATAAAATGGGACTTATGATTCAAGCAGAATGTATTAATTTATAGGGGTTGGGGAGCAGAATCACAATAGTAAAATATACAATTGGCAAAGGGGAGGGGAAGGTAATGAACCTCTTAACAAATAGACTAGTGATAGAGTGATCAGGACCTAAACTCCAGGAACCCCTCTTCCCAGGACAGGGTGACACTTCTCAGAGTCCCATGAGGGTACTCTTTAAGATCAGAAGCATGAAGTTCTAAAGCATATCAAATCGCCACAATCTCAGTGCCTGTATTTATGCCACGTTGCCGAAGCATCTTACTAGGACCATCCTTAATTTTGATTAAGGGGAAAGCTTTGCACATTCAGGTTTGTAATCTGTCTTTACCTTCTTGCCTTTCACATATCTGTTTATTGGTGTTTTCCTAAACAAGTGGCTACTTTCTATTGATAACTTTAGTTGTTCTATTGCAATTGTCCCCAACTTTCCATCAGTTAGGCTCATTATTATGTCATTATATGGCACAGAACACTTGCTATGACCATTTTGTTAAATATTTTCTGAATGTTATGTGGGCTTTGCTGTTGTTGTTGTTCTCTTTTGTGGCTTTTTTGTATTTGATCAATATTCTTGTGCTGACATGCTTCAATAATTTACAACCATATGCAAAAATTTATTCTATCCACCTCCTTGAATCTCAAATTTTACATATTATGCATTATTTTATTTTTAAATTTCTACTTTCTATGCCAGAATTAGATGTGTTATATATACCATAAGATTCTGTATTTGTCTACATTTATCTGGAAGTCTAAATTTTTATGCTTTCATGTCCATCTTTTCAATTTGCAGAACTTCTTTCCTATTTCTTACAAGGCACATCTAATGTGATGAATACTCAGATTTTGTTCACCTGAGAAAATATTCATTTTTGTTGGATAGGTGTTTTTTTCTTTCAACACTTTGAATACAACGCATAACGATGCTTTGGTCAATCATAGATCATATATAATCATGGTGTCTATAAACTAGGTGTGTAGTAAGCCACACTAAAATTAGGTTTGTGTTAAATACATTCTATGAATGACCTTCACACAATGATGGAGTTATCTAAGGACACAATTCTTGGAACATGTTCCTATCACTAAGTGATGTAGGATTCTATATATACTACTACTCCTTTCTGGTTGCTAAGGTTTCTGCTGAGAAATCTATAGATTATGTGATGTGATGAGTCACTTTACCCTCGTTTTTTTCAAGACTGATTTTTCACAGCTTTTTGCCTATCAGGTATCTTGGGCATGGATTCTTTTGATTCATTCTTCTTGTAGTCCACTGAGTTCAAATTTAGATATTCACTTTAATCAGGTTAAGGATATTTTCAGTATTTCTCCAAATAAACTTTTTTTTGTTTGTTTCTTCCTAAGACTCTCCAAATGCATGCACTGGTCCATTTTGTGTGATCCCTTATGTCCCTTAGGCTTTCCCTATTTTTTCTTTAAGTTTTATTTTTTATTTATTTATGCATACAAGAACTGGAATGAAGCCAAAGGTGTAAGGGGGTGAAAGGATTCACCAGAGATAGAGAGATAGAGTGGGGACCACAATAGGCAGATCTATTGAAATAGCCTGCTGAGGGCAGAGTGGGCAGGACAGGAGAGGTCTGCTGTGCCATGTGGGTCAGTTCCCTGGCCAGGTATTGAATTCAGGCTGCAGTGATTGCGAATAGCTTGACAGTGCTGAGACTAACCCCTGTGCCACAAGGGAGGCCCCTCTTTTCTTTCAATCTGCCACTCAACCTCTAGCAAAAATTTCAATTCAGTTATTGTATAATTAAGCTCCAGAAATTTTGCATGGTTGTTTTAATATAGCTTATTATCTTTTGTTTGTTCATATGTTGTCCTAACTTCATTTACTTGGCTGTACTCTCGTTGGTTATTAAGCTTCAAGACAATTTAAATTTTTTTTTTTTTTAAAGATTTACTTATTTGTGCATACAGTGCTGGGGTACAGGCCAGAGGCTCAGGGGCGACGAGGGGCTTCACCAGAGACAGAGGGGCTTCACGCAGAACAGGCAGATCTATGAAGAATACTGCTGAGGGGAGCAGAGGTCAGGTCAGGAGAGGTCTGCCACGCCATGTGGTCACCTCCAGGGTAGGCGGGAATTGAACTCAAGCGGAAGTGGCTTTAGCTTCTCAGTGCTGCACTTTAACCCGCTGCGCCACCAGGGAGAGCCCCACAATTTGAGTTCTTTATGACGTAATTTGTAGATCTCCATTTCTTTTGGATTGGTTTTCTGAAAATTTGTTCCTTAGGTTGAGTCATGCTTGTTTCTTCTTGTGGCTTTTTCCTGAGTTTTATGCACTTGAATTAAGACACTTCTAATATTCTAAAAGGGAAGGTTTCGTTCATTTGCCTCACTAGATTCTGGGTACCTCTGAAACCCTTTTTGTAGGCTATCACTTCTTTGGGCTTGTAATGTAAAACTAATTTCTCAACTAGTTTTTTAGTAGCTTATGATCTCTTGTACCCTGTGTCTGTTGTGGTTTTTCTGCTGGCTTTCTGGGACTATAACAGCAAGTTGCTACTCTTTCTTAGTGGTCCCCAAACACTATAGTTCCCATAATCTAAGCTGAGACCTTTGGGCAGCCCTCTGAATAGAATGAAGGGTATACAATTTTCTTCTTTCATTCATAGGGAAGAAACTCTTTCAATCATGAGGAAGTATGGTGATATCACCAATTGTACAAAGCTGTGCTAGCCTGTCTTTGGTACTGCAAACTTGTCACAGCAAAACACTCTTCTTCCTTGCGTTCTGTGGCTCCCAAGTATCTAAACTACTGTTTGGGTCATCAAATCATGGAAGTCAGTAACCATTTACTCCAGCAGTCATCTGAAAACCTACAATGCTAGATACATGTTCTACTCTTCTCCAATGCCTCTCATCCCAATCATGGTGATCTGTCACCTTAGGGGAGATTTCTGGGAACTCTCAAACAGTTCTTCTTACCTGTTTCAATGCTGTTATTCTCAATTTTTAACTTGTTTCTGGAGTTCTCAAAAAGGTATTTTGGTCCATAGATTACTGGAACAAGGTGGTACCTCTACAGGGAAACAAGGGCTGGGACCCCTTACTCTCATCATCTGGTTGATTTCATCCCTATCCCTCAAAGATTAAAAAAGGAAACAGAAAGCCGACACCATAATTACTTATCAAAACTAAGTGTTTTTGAGTCACAAGTACTCACTAGTATCATAAAACTCTTTTACAGATGATAAAGCCATGGCATAGAAATAGTCAAATGGCAGACACATAAGATCATCTGTAAAAAGTAGGGATGTACAAAATGATGTAAAAATAAACTGTTACAATAAAAAAAATGACTAGAATGAAAAAAAATTATTTCTTTAATACTAAATTCTTGTGATGGGAAAATAATTTTGGATTATTGCAATGAGCCCAATGTAACCATAAGGATACTTACATGTGGAAGAGAGGCATGATCTCTCAAGATGTATGTTATTGGCTTTGAAGATGAGGAAAGAGGTGAATGATAAAAAAACAAAAACAAATGTAAATTTGAGTTTCTAGAAGTTGGAAAGGGGTAAAAAAATTTATTCTTTCTGTGTCTCCAGAGGAATCTTGGCCTTGCCAAACCCTTTAATTTTAGCCCAATGTGGCCTATGTTTTAGATTTTTTTCTACTTTCTAGATTTGTAAGGTAATAAATGTGTTGTTTAAGCCAGCAATAATTATTATAGCAATAAGAAATTAATGTATAAGTCTGTGTTTAAAAAGTTAGGAAATTGTCCCTCCCTGGTGGCGCAGCGGGTTAAAGCACAGCACTACAAAGCTTAAGCCACTTCCGCATGAGTTCGATCCCCGCCTGCCCTGGAGGAGATCCACATGGCGTGGCAGACCTCTCCTGACCCACCCGCTGCTCCCCTCCGCAGTGTACTTCGTCGATCTGCCTGTTCTGCTCCCTACTTTGTCTCTGGTGAATCCTCTCACCCTCCACATCTCTGGCCTGTACCCCAGTTCTGTATGAATAAATAAATCTTTAAAAAAAAACAAGCTAGGAAATGTTTTATTATATAAAACTTGTATATAATGAAAAGCATGGCAAAATCATTGATTTTCCATTAACAAATCCATTTTATTAATCCATTTTTTATATATTTTTTGTAAAAAGTAAAGATTTAATTCCTTATATGTTCTCATATAATACAACTTTATATATACAAGGGTTAACAGCTCTTTTGGGACATACAGTGTAAAACTAAAAATGGATCAAAAAAGAGCAGGAGGAAGGCCACTACCAAACAGTAACCTCCAAGAACTTGGCATTTTCCAGGGCAAGGCAGACACTGTGGAGTCATCACTCTGTAATGAAACAACAAAACAAACCTTCAATTTTGCCAGCATTATCTTTTCCAAACATGTATTATAAAATTCTCCCTTTTCTAGATTTCTCTGATTTTTTTGGTTGTAAAACTCTTTTCATTGCATTTTATAAGGAAAAACAAGTGAGTTCTATGTCCTTATATTAATTGAAGAGAAGTTCCTTCAAGTTCCATATTACAAAGATATACCAAAAAGGATGCAGATAAGTCCTCCTGGTAAAAACAAGTACAAAAAAGTACAGGGATTACATTAAAAAAAAAAAAAAAAAAAAGAACCAGTGTGATTTGTACCAATTTGTTCTTTGCAAAATCATGAATTCAAAAAACTGTTAAGAACCATATAATGTGGCCTTTACAGTATTTCTGTTAAAGAGTAGGTGATCTCCCTGTGTGAAATGCTCTCATTTAATAATAGAGCAAAGTATTTTAACTATAATGCGTATTTAATAGCTACCACCACATTGGCTCACACAGGAATAATACCTTTTGCTTTCCTAAAAAGAAAAATCCTGGCTTCTAATGAGGACTTGTTTTATTTTTTTTTTTTGTAAGATGTTGTCTTCATGTATACTAATAATGAAGTACTTAAGAGTCTCCTTTTTTTTGAAAATCAGCCTTGATCAAACAAATGTAGGCAACAGATGGTCATTTGTCCTTTAAAAAAGTTTAAACTAAACTTCATATAAAGACACATCTATATTTAACATAAATTTTCACTTACTTGGTATTTTTATAATATACAAAATAACGTTTGACAATAAACAAATGGATGGAAGAAAGAAAATAAAAATAAACTTTTAGGTTAGAAGACCAATTAATGGCTACCAGAAGGGAAAGAAAATAAATGGTTAAAATAGGATAAAAGACTAGAAATGTACTTTTAGTATTGAACTTAGCATAGTATATTTCATTATAAGTAAAGTATATTGTCGGTTTCACCTGAAACTTATTATGTCATAAAACAATATTACTTTGATTTAAAGAGAAAGGTAAACAGAAAAAGCAAACAAACAAGGTTATGAATACACAACCAGAAAAACCAGAAGTTAACACTGTAGTAAAACTTACACAAGGCTTAATTATGTGAAGCCATTCATTAAGATACTCAACAAGACCTAATGCATCTGGGATGTTATCACCTTCTGAAACAAATTTTAGCAGGACTGCCACTGGGATTTCTTTAGAACAGCTAAAACAAATAAAAGGAATTAATTCAGTATACTTCCACTGATATGACATTGATATCTATTTTTATATCTGTAATAATCTTCCAGGTTTTAGGAAATGAGAAAAAGTGACATCAAATAACTTATTTATCTTCTTTTATACCAAATATATTCTATTGGTAGGGACAGGACTAGAAGCCATTTTATGTCCACCCTGGGAATATGCAAATTTGCACCTCATATCAAAGTTGCATGAAAATCATTCCCTCTATCTTTGGCTATAATATATAAACTATGTTTTCATCTCCCAAAATGTTTTTAGAAGACAATGATTTTTAGCAGCCACAGCAAAGACACTAAAAGATAAATAAACAAATAACCACTTTTAATAATCTAAAGCAGCAAAGACAAAAGGGAGGGAAATGTACTGTAACTTCTTATAGATAGACTAAGTGATTATATACTAAGCACTGACTGCATATTTTATGATTCAATCCTTACCACAATCCTTCAGAAAATTTTATCTTTATTTTATAAATGAATCCATTTGAAGTTTATAAATGAATCAATTTGAAGTAACAGAAACAAGGACAGAACAAACAGATTTGAATTCTAGTTCTGCCACTTATCAGATATTGAACTATTTACTTAAGGCTTTAGTGTACCTCATCTATAAAAGAGGAATCACAATAGAACCTACTTCATAGGTTATTGTGAGGTTAAAAGGAGGTAATGTAGGCAACATGCTTAAAATAGTACCCTATCTGTAGTCAACTTATTTAAGATGAGCTACTATAAGCTAACCTTAAGGTTTAAGATACTGAAATATAGTTAACATGCTCAAAGGTATTCATACCTAGGAAGTAGCCAGATAGTATTTGAACCTAAGTCATTATGACTCCAAAACAGTCTCCTTTTATACTATAAATGCTTCCAGCTAGTGATAAGAAGAAGATACACCAATATAAACTTTCCTGTTTGCCAACAAAAGTAAAAATTACTTCTAACACCCTAAAAGCAGTAATTTTGAGAAAAATGAAGTACCTGAGACCACATGACAGACTTAAAAGAAATAAAGGTGAGTTGGGCTCTCAGGGATTTACTATCTGTAGGAAATTTTAACAAATAGGTTCAGAAATCTCAGATGGTAGCAAAATAGTTTACCAGTGTTATCAGCTGCTAAAAATTGGAAGTGGGAAGCTGCTAGCAATACTTTACCATCTCAGAACATAGTTTCTTGATATCTTAGGAACTGCTCTCAAGCTTTGTGGAACCTCTGTGAGTTATGAAGGCTCAGAAACCAGAGTACATGTTCTCATAATGGGAATGTGAAATGTGTGTATTAAATAAATTTCAATAAATATTCATGTATACAATGAGGAAGAAATATACAACCTGTATGATCTCAACCCTTTTGTTCAATTTCAAAACTTCTTTATTGAAATGAATGTACAGTTGCATAGAACATAAAATACAGGTATGGCTAGAAATAAAAGATTTCTGTGTTTGAAAAGTAAATCAAATTTGTGATAAACCCTTGCATACACTGAATTCTAATTTAAAGTTATCAATGTTAGAGTTACATTATATTGCAGATACATACATTCAACTATTTTTAAACAACTTTAAAAGAAAGTATAAAAATATTGGTAGTGGTTTTTAACCTGCATTAGGTTACAGAGCATTTTAAATGTTCTTTTTAAGATTTATTTACTTATACATGTAAGAACCAGGGTACAGGCCAGAAGTATGGAGGGTGAGAGGATTTACCAAGGACAGTACAGGCAGGAGCAGAACAGGCAGATGTACTTAAATACTCTGTTGAGGGGACAGCAGGTGAGACAAGAGAAGTCTATCTCACCATATGGTCAGCTCCCTGGCTGGGAATTGAACTGGTGCTGCAGTGGCTGCAGAGAACTTCATAGTGCTGTGCTTTAACTCACTGCACCACCAGGGAGAGCCCTAAGTGTTATTTCTTTTGAATGTTCCAAAAATTCTGATAGGTATGTATTTCTTACCTTTTCATATTGTTGCTAACTTTGTGGGCAAATTTACAGGTACCTAAGAAATTGTTCTTTGGCGTCAAACAGGCCACACAAATGTGACTCAGAATTCAGAAAAATAATCAGGAAGATCCCTATATAAAGCTGTTCTTCTGAGTAGCTCCCAACCCCTTCTGGTTCTCTACCTAGAATTTTCCAGGTGTCTGATCTCTTCTTTCCTCAACTCAGCAAGACTATTGTCCTCTGCTTGAGTTCTCTCTTCCTTTTGTTATGCCCAGAAATCATAAATGTAGGACTGACTTTGTCTTCGCTCAGGAACAAAAGTGTGCTGCTTGTTGACAAGTATCTAAAAACACTGTATGATTTATTTTGTCCAATTTAGTTGTTTGTGGTAGGAAGACAAGTTACTCTGACCCAGTCAGAAGCAAAGTGGGATGATGTATAAATAAATCAGTTTGAAGGGATGAAGTACAGCCAGGGAGAAGTTGTGAGATGAGTAACTCTTGAAAACTAGGTAAGGTTTTACAAGGGAGAAGGAGAGGAGAAAAGTACAGAGAATAAAGCCAAAGAATGAGACAGCTTTTAGGATGTTTTATCAGTTTACCTGGAGTACAGAGCATCAAAGAATGAGGTAAGTGAGGAGAGTCTATAGCATAATAAGGTATATGGAACAGGAGTCTGAAAACAGTAAGTAAAATTGCTGACAGGCTTCTCTCAGAGAGTATTTGTCAACCACTTTGCACTATAAAAGGTTAGTTCTGGCCTTCCCTGGTGGCGCAGCGGGTTAAAGTACAGCACTGAGAATCTAAAGCCACTTTCTCATGAGTTGGATTCCCTCCTGTCCCTGAGGTGACCACATGGTGTGGCAGACCTCTCCAGACCCGCCCGCTGCTCCCCTCAGCAGTGTACTTCGTCGATCTGCCTGTTTTGTTCCCCACTCTGTCTCTGGTAAAGCCTCTCACTGCTCCTGAGCCTCTGGCCTGTACCCCAGTTCTGTATGCACAAATAAATAAAAAATAAATCTTAAAAAAAAAAAGAAAAAGGTTAATTCTAGTAACACGGCTGCAAAATGAATAGACAAAGTATTGGAATTAGAACTTTTTAGCAATTACCATGAATTGAACTGTCACTCTTCAAAATTTATTTGCTGAATATCTTTAGGAGATAATTAAGGTTAAATGAGATCATAAGAGTGGACCCCTAATCTGATAAAAAAGTAGTTTTATAAGAAGAAAATTCTCTTTCTGTGCCACATGAGGATATAGTGAGAAGGAGGCTGTCTCCAAGTTTAGGTACACACCAGAACCTGTCCAAATTGACACTCTGATCTTGGACTTCTAGTCTCCAATACAATAAGAAAATAAATTTTTATTGGTTAAGTTACCTAGTTGTGACATTTTGTTATAGTAGCCTTAGTAGGCCAATGTATCAGTCTAGGTAACACACAATGAGGTTTGAATGAAGCAAAAGAATGATTACTAGTTACTGGGTTGTAGTGCAGGACAGATCATGGTTAAGCAGTCAGAGTTTCTAAGTGATGGGAAAAGAATAGTTAAAATGCTATGCTTTGGAGAATAAAGTAGAAAAGAAAATAATTATAACCTAAGTTTACATTTTAGGAAACAGAAAAAGAAGATGAAATCAAAGCCAAAACTAGCATAAGGAAGGAATAAATATCAGAAAGGAGACAGAGAACAGAAAAACAATAAAGAAAAAAATTATTAAAACCAAGTTTGTTCTCTGAAAAGATCAACAAAATTGATGGTTAGCTTGATTGATATGAATAAAAAAGGGACCCTCCCTGGTGACGCAATGGGTTAAAGCACAGCACAATGAAGCTCTCCAAAGCCATTGCAGCACAAGTTCAATTCCCAGCGAGGGAGGTAACCCACACAGAGTGGCCGACCTCTCCTGACTGGCCCACTGCTCCCTCTGGCCCACTGCTCTCCTCAGTAGTGTATTTCAGTAAATCTGCCTGTTCTACTCCCTACTCTGTCTCTGGTGAATCTCCCTCACCCACACCCATCCCCCTAACCCCCACACCTCTGGCCTGTATCCCAGTTCCTTTATGCATAAATAAATAAATCTTAAAAAAAAAAAAAGAATAAAAAAGACTCAAATTACTAAAAGATATGAAAGTGAGGACATTATTACTGATTTTGCCAAAATAAGCATTATTATTTCATGAGTACTAATTTCTTATTTAGAACAATGACAAACTTCTGGAAGTAGACAGTCATAACTGGTACACAAGCACTGAACATATTTACTTAATGGTACATTTTAAAGAAGGTTAATTGACTTTATGCTTTACAATGTAAAAAAGACTAACTGTAAAAGATACGTAAGATCCATCACTATGCAACATATAAAAAAGCATTAAATATGGATATTTAGGAACCATTTCTCCTCTAACTAAAATTTAACCTTTCCCTTAAATATAAGAATTTTAATACAATAGTACTAGTAAAATATATTTTCAGAGTTCTAATAAGTAATCTAATATATAGTTGATTATCTTAATTTCTTTTTCAAACAAAGTGGGAAACAAATGAACAAACAGGCAAACAAACCTACCTTTCATCATAGAGTGTTTTTGTGATACCTCCTCCAGGAATACGGATACAAAACTCAGAATCATCTATTTCAGGAATGCAGGGGCTTTTTTCCATTTCTTCCCAGTTAAGGCTCTTTATTTTATTTTGAACACCTTTTTGCATGGAGGGTGTTAGTAGGTACCTAAAGGGAGTACTAGAAACAATCATATAATTAACTTTCTAAAAACACACAAATATTAAAGGAGGGCAAATAATCAGCTGTTTCTGCAAAAATTATCTTACTATCTAAATATTCTCTGCACAAGGCAAAAACAAAAGCTTCCACAGTCTATGAAAAGTATACGATTTGAAGAAGCACTGCTTTGGCTTGCTTAGAAAAAAGGTAAAGAGATAAGAAAACAAGGCATGATCACTACGAAGTAAACCTATAAAAATAGTAATGTTCCCTTCTAGACATAAAGCCTATTGTTATATTTCTAGAAAAAAAGATTCAGTTTTGAAAGACTGTTCTTAGCTGATATACTTTCATCATGACTTTATAGGTATATGAATGGTAATATAACTCAATAATTACACTTCCACTTCTTAGAGAGTATTTTTTAAATTTAAGAATTCAATCTGACATGCATGGTAGCTATACTTAAAGGCAACTGGATTTCTATAAGTACAAATGGTTGAACATGTGGAAACAGAAATATCATTCTAATTTTTCAAACACTATCCTGTAAGTCTTAAGCACCATCATTCCTCTTTATCTTCTCAGTTGAGCTCTTTGATATTGCCATGCAATCTCATGACTTTTTTTTTTTTTTAAAAGATTTATTTATTTATTCATACAGAACTGGGGTACAGGCCAGAGATGCGGAGGGTGAGAGGATTCACCAGAGACAGAGCGGGAAGCAGAACAGGCAGATCGATGAAGTATAATGCTGAGGGGAGCAGCGGGCGGGTCAGGAGAGGTCTGCCACGCCATGTGGTCACCTCCGGGGCAGGCGGGAATCGAACTCATGCGGAGGTGGCTTTAGATTCTCAGTGCTGTGCTTTAACCCGCTGCGCCACCAGGGAGGGCCACAATCTCATGACTTTTAAAGCTCATCTTAACTTTTTTTTAAAGATTTATTGCATACAGAACTAGGGTGTAGGCCAGAGGTGCAGGGACAGTGAGAGGATTCACCAGAGACAGATCAGGGAGTAGAACAGACTGACTAACAAACAAAGTACACTGTTGAGGGGACCAGCTGGAGGTTCAGGAGAGGTCTGCCATACCATGTGGGTCACCTCCATGACTGGAGATCAAACTTGCACTGAAGCAGCTGTGGCAAGCTTGCAATGCTGCATCCTAACCTGTTGCACCACCAGAGAGGGCTCCTTATTTTAACTTTTAATACAGAAATTATAATACAGTAAGAAATCATAAAAATAATTTTTAAAAGGCAAAAACATACCTACGAAGCTGTAGATCATTACGATGATATGAATGACTGCTGGAGAGAACGATAACTTTGGCACAGTTACTACTTTTCACCCAGGAAAGCAGTTTTTCACAGAATGACTTTGATTTATACTTTGCATAAACCATTGAAAGAAAAGAACATTTAAAAGTTAGATTTTAGAGTATAATATTTGACAAGTTTTTATGATATATAATGTACATACAATAAATATTTTTAGATAAACTTACTATCCTTAAAATGAAGATAAAAAGTGAGGAGCTGGCAGTTATTTATTATCTCTTTACAATCAGTGAACAAATTATAAGTAACCTAGTTATCAAAAAATTCTATTCTGGCCCTCCCTTGTGGTGCAGCGGGTTAAAGCACAGCACTAAGAAGCTTAAGCCACTTCCACATGAGTTCGATTCCCCGCCTGCCCCAGAGGAGATCCACATGGTGAGGCAGACCTCTTCTGACCCGTCCGCTGCTCCCCTCAGCAGTGTACTTCATCGATCTGCCTGTTCTGCGCCCCTCTCTGTCTCTGGTGAATCCTCTCACCCTCCGCATCTCTGGCCTGTACCCCAGTTCTGTACGAATAAATAAATAAATCTTAAAAAAAAAAATAGGGTGGCAATATAATATAATATAATATAATGGCTGAGAAGCAGACCCTACAGCAAGGTTGTCTGCCCTAGAATGCTGGCTCAGCCTTCTACCACATAGGCAAAATGCTTTATCTTTCTGTGCTTGTTTTCTATTTATAAATTGAGGATAATATTAGTATTTATTGTGAGGATTAAACAGTAGTAGACACAAACTAACTGGACCAATATTTGTGCAAAAAATCAATCCTCAGTAAGTATTTGGTACTTTTAAAATACTTTATTTTCAACCGCCAAACATTTCATTTAGAAGTGCTTAAGTCATTTAATTCTTGCACTTATGACATTAAGAAGAGAACAAAAGCCATGTGGCACAATGGAAAAGTGGCAGCAACTAGTGAAGAACTATAAAACATTGGGCATGGGACCCTTCCTGGTAGCGCAACAAGTCAGGAGACAGCACTGCAAGCTAGCCACAGCAATATCAGTGCGAGTTTGAGCCCTAGCTCCAGAGGTGACCCACATAGCGCAGACCTCTCCTGACCCGCCCACTGCTTTCCTCAGAAGTGTACTTCGCCAGTCTGCCTGTTCTGCTCCTTCCTCTGTCACTGTCCCTGCACCTCTGAACTGCACCCCAAATCTGTATGCATAAATAAATCTTTAAAAAAAAATTGAGTATGATATTCTTAATTGAAGAGTCTAAATGTATTAAAATAATCATAGCACTATTCACAAAAGCCTGAAATTAAAAAAAAAAAATTGAACAGTCCATCACCAGTATTACGGGTAAACTATGATCTATTTGTATAACAGATTCTCAAAGTATTACTTCCAACATGAAATACGTATTGTAAATTCCATTTACATAACAATAAAGACTAGGTTGGGCACAGAGGAGGAATATTGTTAAACTTCCGGCTTCCGGAATAGATGATACCTTAATTCACTCAATAGACACTGATTGAGAGTTCCTCCACATGGAAGGCACTATACTAAAAGCTAGGGATTTAAGAGTGATAAGAGTTGAGTAAGTAATGGATAAAAGATCTGGGCATAAGACCTGAATACATAAAATACATAGAAGAAAACATAGGTAACACACTGTAAGACATACATCTCAGTAACATCTTTAAAGACTCATTATCCAAAGCAAAAAAAAAAAAATGAAGGAAAAGGTAAACACTTGGGACTACATCTAACTGAAAAGCTTCTGTAGAGCAGAAAAGACAGTAACAAAAACAGAGAGAGACATTCCACTAACTGGGAAAAAAAAATCTTAGCATGCCATTCAATGAATAAGGAACTGATCACAAAGATACACAAAGAACTCACATGACTCAACAAAAAATAAATAATCCACTCAAGAAAAGGGTAGAAGAACTTAAAAGACACCTCTCCTAAGAGGAAATGCAAATGGCCAATAGTCATATGAAAAAAATCTTTAACATCCCTTATAATCAGGGAAATGTAAATCAAAACCACAATGAGATAGATACCACCTTATACCAATAAAAATGGCACAAATAAAAAAAAATAACAACAAATGTTAGTGAGGACGTGGTGAAAAAGGAACTCTCCTACATTGCTGGTGGGAGTACTAACTGGTACACCACTTTGGAAAACTGTACGGAGGTTCCTCAGACTATTAAAAGTGGAGCCACCAAATAACCCAGCAATTCCCTTTGTAGGGCTCTACCCAAAAGATATAAAACCATCAATTCAAAGGATACTTGTACCCCTATGTTTACTGCAGCACTATTATTTACATCAGGTAAAACCTAGAAACAGCCCAAATGCCCAAAATAGACGATTGGCTCAAGAAGATGTGGTATATATACACAATGGAGTATTACTCAGCAGACAAAAAAAGATAAACTCGTGCCATTTGCAGCAACATGGATGGAACTAGAAGGGATCATGTGCAATGAAGTAAGTTAGAAGGAAAATAAAATATCTGATCGTTTCACTTATAGGAGGAATACAGGGGAACCAAGTAAGACATAGAAGAAAAATAGCAATACAAAACAAACAGACAATTATAAACCAGAAACATCCTGCAGGGAGGAAGAGAGAGAGGGATCTGGAGGAGAGAGAGGGATCAGAAGGAGGAAGGGAGGAGCACAGGGGACTGTGGTGATGGTGCATGGGCGAACTGGGGTAGGAAATCCTATGGGATCTACACGTGAGGGGGGTAGGAAGTAAATATTGTTTTAAAATGAAAAAAAGTTGCATAGGTCACTTCTTTCTTATTAGAGACAGATAATAAATAATGATAAGCGAGTTAGGTGGCATAGTATAAGTAAGCTAAATAATCAAAAAGTGTTCATTTAAGGAAGGAGTAAAGTAAGCGAAGCATTTAGGTAACAGCAGAAAAGCATTTTAGGCATAGAAGGTTACATAAAGAGTTTGAGTAGAGTGAGCTTAACCTATTTGAATAAAGCAGGAAGACCAGTGTGGCTGAAGCAGGATGAGCAAAAGCAGGAAATAGAAAATAAATATCAAGAGTAGTTGGAAGTTAGACTAGGAAGAGCAGTTGTCCAACAGAATTTTTTGTGATACTGGAAATGCTCTTGATGGTAGCTGCTTGTACAGCTACTAAAAACTTGAAATGTGGCACATGTGACAGAGAAATTGAACATTAGTAATTTTTAATTAATGAGTCAAAACTTAAATAGCTACATGTGGCTAGTGGTTACTATATCAGATAGTACAGATGAAGACCCTCATAGGCTTAAAGATTCATTGGTGGTACTCTTAGGAACAGACTGGGTATGAGTGATACAAAGGTTTGGACTGACACAGTAGCAGTGGAGAAGGAAAGAACCTGGATTTGAAATATATTCTAGCACATAACTTATATGCTGATGGCACTGGTTGAAATGTAATCAAATGAAAAAAACCGGTAACACCAATGCTACCCTAGAAGTAAAATGCAAATTATATCCCAATTTCTTTCAATAAATCATGAAATAATTATAACACTGCTGAGATGTTATGCTTTCCTCTATAGATTCAGACCTTTCTTAACTGTGCACAAAATAAATGGAACAGAAATGCCTTTGAATATTAATTTTCTTTTTTTAAGATTTATTTATGCATACAGAACTGGGGTACAGGCCAGAGGTGCTGGGGCGGTGAGTTAAGAGGATTCACCAGAGACAGAGTGGGGAGCAGAACAGGCAGATCAATGCGGTACACTCCTGAGGGGAGCAGTGGGTAAGTCAGAAGAGGTCTGCTGTGCCATGTGTTATCTCCGGGGTGAGGGATCGAACTCACACTGAAGCAGTTGCTGGTAGCTTGGAGTGCTTCGTCCTAACCCAGTGAGCCACCAGGGAGACCCCTGAATCTTATCTTTCAATTATTAGTATTTTTTGTTATATTTTACATTAGTCAACTTAGAAAGGCAAATATAACATACCAACCTTAATAAAAATGGATCTTAACTGAAGAGCCATGAGTTTCTTTGAAGGTAATGAATATACTACAAAGATAAGAAAATGAAATAATTATGATAGTAAAATGAAGGTGTTGTACAAGTGAAATGACAAGAATTAAAACTGAATTGTAAGAACATTTTATTTAAATTTTTAAAAAATATACACAACATATGGATTGTCACATGTTTAAAAATATCTTAGAAGTAACTTCAAATACAGATATTGGCTTTATTTTATGAAAAACTCTTGACAGAACTGAATCTTTTGGAATTCTTTCCCTCCCTCTTCCTAACTTTAGTGATGCTTATATAAATAAAAAGAAAAAATGCAACTAAGATCAAAAGGGAGGAAAAAAAGGAAATCTTAAATTCTATTTAAAGATACCAGTACAATCACATCACTCCTAAAAGCTACCATTAAGAAATGGCTAAACAGGCAGCTCTCCTGCCCACCTGTTTCCCAGTCTTTTTAAAATGTAAAAAAGAAAAAAGAAATGACTAAGATGTAAAAAGAATAGAACTATGTCACAAAAGCTGCATAAAGCTGGTGTTAAATGTTTTTTACAAAACACTGTAGTCTATTTCTAATTCAAAGTAAGTTCACCTTGCAGTAAAATAAATATACATACCTTCGGCATTTATACTGAGTTCTGTTGAGTTTTCTTCTGCAGTTGCATAAGGATTGTTTCCAACGATTGGCACAAGACAGTCAGTATAGAAGTAACCAATTTTATGCATATTCAGAGTTGAAATAATCAGATCTATTGCAAGTTGGCCAACATTTCCAACAGATACAGCTGGCTGAAATCATTAGAAAGTATGTTTAGTAACCAGTGAAGATTAACGTCATTTTTAGAGAAAAATAACCATAGCACCAGTACTGAAAGCTGACAGCATCAAAGTTACATACAGACTTACAGTAGCTGCAAATGAAGTATCATAGGGGTCTCCTCCATAGTAGATGTTTTTTAGTATATTTTAGGAAGGTAGCATTGGTTTACCTCATTGTTTACATCTTAGAAGTACAGGATTCCCCCTTCAGGTGTTGTTGCCAGAGCCTAACCACCACCAAAGCACTCATAGTCCACCAAAATGTTTTGTTGTTCTCTAAACACCCCCTATGGTTATTTCCACTCTAAAGACAGCCTTCAAGGGCAAATTTTTCAGTTTGGCTGAGCTGACCCTTTGTTTGGTTTCTTCATATTGTGCATATGAAGTGAAACCATCCCATATTTATCTTATTCTTTCTGACTTTTTTGCTTAGCATAATCTCTTCCAGCTCTGTTCAAGGGGCCACAAATGGCATAAGCTTGTCTTTTTAGATTACTGTGTAGTATTCCATTGTGTATATATACCGCACTTATTTATGTACTTATTTTCTCACATCTTTGTTAATTTTTGGATTGTATTTGATTTCTCCTCTCTGGTAATGTCCCTGTAGTCCAACCACCACAGCAATCCATCACCAAAGTCCCTTGTGCTTTTCCCTTCTTGGCTTTGACCCATTTCCTGCCCTCTCGCCTGCTGGAAGCCTCATATCCACAGTAAGTGTGCACATTTTGTCTTTGTTTTTCCTGACACTTTGTTTGTTTTTGTTATATTCAGCAAAAAAGCAAAGTCACCTGATATTCATCTTTTGTCTCCTGAAAACCTTTTAACAACGCCTTATAGTTTTCTTTGTGTAGGTCCTTCACGTATTTTGTTAGTTTATTCCTAGATATTTTTTTTTTACTCCTAGATATTAATTTGGGGAAGTAATCGTGAATGGAAATTTTGTTAATTTCTTTTTCTAGCTTAATTTTCACATAATAGAAACTGATTTTTGTGGATTGACTTTATAACCAGTCATTTGCCAAACTAATTGTTTCAATTTAGTTTTTTGTTTTCCAGTGGAGTCATTAGAGTTCTTTATGTATATTATCATATCATCTACACATGATGGCTTTATTTCTTCTTCCCTTGTTGGGATTCCTTCGATATCTTTCTTTTGCCTAATTCCTCTAAGATGACAGTTTTGAGTTAATGCTTACTGAACACCTACTGTGTCATTGCTCTATACTGTGAGAACACAGTAAAATAAACTGACAAAAGTTCCTGCCCTCCGAATGCTTCCCATTCTAGTGAGGGAATGGCTTACCAAAATAAATACAAGTAAACAGTGGTGAGAGCTGTGGAGAAAAATTGAGTGTACACATTTGTAGTTGGTGGCAATTTTTTAAAAAAAGATTTATTTATGCATACAGAAATGAGATACAGGCCAGAAGTGCAGGGACAGTGAGAGGACTTACCAGAGACAGAGTGGGGAACAGAACTGGCATATCAACAAAGTACAAAGCTGAGGGGAGCAATGGGCGAGACAGGAGAAGTTTACTGTACCGTGTGGGTCACATCCGGAGCTGAGGATCAAACTTGCACTGAAGCGGCTGCCCCTAGGTTGCAGTGCTGCGTCCTAACCCACTATGCCACCAAGGAGGGCCTTTGGTGGCAATTTTATATAGGTTGATCAAAGAAAGTCTCTCACTTTAGTTTGACAAGTAACTATAACCTGAAAGACCTAAGAGTGGTAGAACCACATACAGACCAGTAGTGGGAGGACAAGTTGAAAGGTTGGAGGTCTGAACAAAGACCTTCATAAACAAACTTTTTAAAAAAGAAAAAAATCATCCCCATAATTATCTAAGCCAGAAAACTTCCCTTACTAACCATACTGATTCTATCTTCCAAAGTATCTTTTTTTTTTTTGAAGGCCAATATTGTATCATTACATCTATTTTATTTTATAAAATATATTTATGCCAGGCTCTGCCTGGTGGTACGAGTTAAAACACAGCAAGATGAAGCTATCTGAAGCCACTGCAGCATGAGTTCAATCCCCAGCCAGGGAGGTGACCCACAAGGAGTGGCAGACCTCTCCTGACCTGCCCGCTGCTCTCCTCAGCAGTATATTTCAGTCAATCTGCTTGATCTGCTACCCATTCTGTCTCTGGTAAACCTTCTCACCCCCTGCACCTCTGGCCTATAGCCCAGTTTCTATAGGCATAAATATTATTTTTTTTAAGGATTTATTTATTTATCCCTACAAGAACTGGTGTACAGGCCAGAGTTGCCGGGAGTGAGAGGACTTACCAGAGACAGAGTGGGGAGCAGAACAGGCATAAATACACTTGTGAGGGGAGCAGTAGGTAAGACAGGAAAGGTCTGCCCCATGTGGTTAACCTCCCTGGCCAGGGATCTACCTCATGCTGCAGTAGCTGTGGATCACTTCATAGTGCTTTACTTAGCTTTAACCCACTGTGCCACCAGGGAGGGCCCCCAAAGCATCTCTCTAATGTAGCTCTTCCTCTGCATTCTTTGAGCAATTGCATTTTTGTTTTTGGCTTTCAGCATACAAGTGATACTTCTTACTACTCTCATGTACTAAACCTAAACCTCTAGTTATTTCCTATAATTTCAATTGCATTTTTGTTTTTGGCTTTCAGCATACAAGTGATACTTCTTACTACTCTCATGTACTAAACCTAAACCTCTAGTTATTTCCTATAATTTCCTTTTTCTTTCACAAATACTTTGCTACTTTGGTTAGATGCTCCATCTCCTGCATCACCTTTTTCTCATACTGAATATCTTCCCATTAGCATGTGTACTTTCTCCAGGAAAACATAAGAAGGTACTTTAACTCTAAATTAATGTATGAATACACATACATATACACAATTCTACTTCTCCTCTCATTCATTGAACTGGCTCCAATGTTGCTTCCTTGTTTTCCACTGTTAATTGTTTGTCAAGGTTACTGCCAATAACCTATATATACCTCCTTTATTTTTCACAATTCCTCGATGACTTCTGACAGGTGGCATCCATTCTTGAAATACTTTCTTCTCTAGATTTAGGTGTTCAACATTTAATGAAAGAAAGAATGATTGTTCTGTCTCAGCATTATATCACTCTGAATTGCAGTGGTTTTGCAATGGTGTCTTCTGGGTTAACAGGGCTTTCAGACTACTTTTTTCAATGTTCTTCCAGCAATTCCAAACTCCTTGCTGCCCAGGTCTCCCATGCATTTATTTGTGCCTCTGCTGTGACATACATTTTTCCTGAAATGCACTAATTCCAAGCACCATCATCCTTTAGTCAATCCTTCCTCTATCTTTTTCTTTTCTCTTAGATATCTTCCACAAATTATTTGTTTTCCCTTTGGTGAAATAATAAGTATGTCCCAGGGAGATACTTTGAAATTATGCAAAATCTTATTTCTCAATACACTATCATCCATTAATTTCAGCACTGATATCTACTGTGTATATAACTACAGTGAAAACCACAAAAAAATGATTTTCCCATTATTGTATTTAAGAAAGGATATAACTGACATATAAATAACATTGTATCAGTTTTAGGTTTGATATCTGCACATATTTTAAATTTATTTTACATCCATCACCACTTATTTCCTTGTAAGAACGTTTATTGTTAGGGACTTTCAAATGCACAATACACGATTCACTACAATCACTATGCTGCATACACCCCAGATTTAATCACATTAACTGGAAATTTCTGTACCTCTTCACCACCAGGACTCATTTTGGTATTCTTCCCTCATCTCCACCTCCCTTTGGCAACCTTCAATCTGTTCCTTTATGAGTTTTTCTCCCGTAGTTCCTCACCCTTCATCCCCCTCAGATTCCAAGTTAAATATATATATAGTCCCAACCTCTCCCAATACATCTTTTCTCTAGCCTTTTCAAACTAGCCTTATCAAACTTCTACCTAGCATTTATTGATTTACATGTGCTTCCAGCTAGACAGTTAACTCTTTGAGGACAAGAGCCTAGTCATATTCTAACTATTTTCACTTAACAGCATGTTAATTTTAACAAAAGATGAACATGGGAAATTGCAGGAGCGATAAAACCTTAGATTAGCGAGTACTGGCAAACAACAATGGCTAACGGCAATGGGTTGTTAGCTTAAGATTGACTTTAAAACTAGCTGAAGGTTTTCTATCATTAAAAACGATGGAAAATGACTCCCATACCGTAAGTGCAACGTAGATGAAATATCCAAGCGCACTAAGTTTTACAGTCAACAAAGACCGTAGTCTTAGATACGTTTGGTGATGCGCCAGCCAAGAGTTCTATTTGGACTGCCGCTTCGCGCGACAACCTCCCTGTTTTCAGTACAGGCTAAAAATCTGAAAGAGAAACATGGGCTCTCCCTCTCCCAGGGTCGGGTGAAAAACCCGGGTTGGGGTGGCGACCACACCGCACCCGCCTTCTGAGAGGTGGCAGTCAAGTCAGGCAGTGGAAAGTTCGAGAAAGTGAGGACTCACCATCAGGAGGGTGAAACCCGAGAGGTCTGGGACCGACTCTCCACAGGGAATAAACATGGTCGCGGTGAAGTGGGAAGGAGGGGATGTATATCGTCCTGGAAGAAGGTAGAGGGCTCACACCGCAGAAACCGCGCCCTGAGAGCCGTGTCCCCACGTTGGCGTCCCTAGAGCCAAAAGCGACGCCGGCCGCCGAGGACCAAGCGGGAGGGGTCCTTCGAGTCCCTTGGCGCGGGGTCCTGAGATTTCCGTCCAACTACCTGCCAGACCACAGGGCGGATTAGGGCAGGGAGCGGGAGACAGACGGGGGTGAGGAGCGCACCCAGAGACCTTATCAAGTCCCAGAGACGGGACGCGGTGGGACGCGCTGAATTCGCTGGGTAGAAACCCTGGGGGTAGGGGAAGCTGCAAACGGAGTCGCTCAGGCGGGCGAGGGGCAGCCCCGGGGCCTTGCGCTCCGCCGCCGTTTGAAACAGTTGGGTGCCGCCCCAGCAGCCTCGGCCTGGGCTCCCGCTCGGCCGTAGGCTGGTCTTGGCGCAGTGAATCCCCCGACCGCCCCCCCCCCCCTCCTTCCAACCCCGACTACCCCAGCTGCGTGAGGCGAGTGGCGGCGCGAGCCGGGTGCTCAGTAAGGACCGACTTTCCCGCCGGGCGGCGGTGCCGCGCGCTGGAAGCGGATTGAAGTGTCGGCCCAAGCATGTCGCTGCCTCCGGAGAAAGCCTCGGAGCTGAAGCAGCTCATTCACCAGCAGCTGAGCAAGGTGAGGGACCGCGGGCGCGGGGCGAGCCCGGAGCCTCCTGCCGGCTTTGTGGCTCTGAGCCGCATCCCGGTGGCCCTGGACTGGCGCTCCCGTTTGCCCGGATTCTAGCAAAGATTTTGAGACGTGGTCGTTGTAGGGACAGAAATTTCGGGTATGGAAACCGAAGGGCTTTCTAAGCTGGATAAGACAACGAGCGCAGAGAGTGCTAAGGAGAGTCAGAAAGTGATCCAGAAGCATTCGTGTTTAGGACGGTTGTGAAAATAAACCGTTTTTGGAGAAGTTCTTGGAAGTCAGATCGAGTGTAAATTGTGTTTGTAGCAAGTCTGTATTCACAGGTCAAGAATCGGGATTATTTTAAGCGTGGGATTTGTATGTAATTGAAGATGAACCAAATCAGGAGTTCCCAAAGAAGACACGAAAGAGTAGTTATTAAAGACTGTGCAGTGAAACATTGTCTTTGAGGTGCTAAATCTAACTGCAGTAATCTGAAGTGATGAAAGCTGTGGTTGATTGCGCACTGTGTACCAAACTTTGTGCTATGTTTAGCATTCAGGGATTAGTTTTCACAATACATCTGAGAGAGCACCATTTCCCCCCCCCCCCCAGAAAACTAAGTGGTAAATAAGTTATTTCAGGGTTACATGTATTAAGTTGGACGCTGACATTCACACTAGTTTTGCTCCAAGTCTGTGTTCTTTTGCTTATACTGAGATTTGTTTTGGTTCAGTATTATTTGTGGGGAAATGGTAACAAGCAGTAGACAAGAAGAGATTATTTTTAGAATTTCCATTAAAAATGTCATGTTAAAATAGTTTCCTTTAAAAACAACTTAAATTTATTCTTACCGAATTCTTGTAACAATTTTATGATTACTACTGTGTTGTTCTGAATTTAATCAATATGTTCTCCCAGTGTTTTGGGGGAGAGTTATTTGAGAAAGAAGTTAGCTATTTGACTGCTTTGTAACATTGTAAATTGTAATATGAATTTCTATGTAGATGGATGTCCATGGTAGGATAAGAGAAATCCTTGCTGAGACAATACGAGAAGAATTGGCACCTGATCAACAACAGTTATCCACAGAAGATTTGATGAAAGCCCTTAGACGTCGTGGAATCATTGATGATGTGATGAAAGAACTTAATTTTGTTTCTGTGAGTAATCCTTTAGGTGCTGAATTGAGAGTATAAGTATATTCTGATCTTAATGCTGTTATGGGCTACATATTTGGAGACTCCTCTTTTATTAAAACCACTTTAAAATAGACCATTTTGTTTAGTAATACCCTTTTTTCACCCAAATATAAACTATTCTTGAATAGAACAGGTAAATTTATGTACCAGTGAAACTGGAGTTAGATACCCTATTCTTTTCTGGAGGAATACTGTTTTCTTTTGTCATTTTCTAGGTCTGTAATTTTTAAGTACATGTAAAGTACATGTATTTTAGTGACATTAGTTCAGAACCTACTTCTTTTGCACTATGTTTTTTTGTTTGTTTGTTTTTGCTTTCAGATTAGTCTACTTTTAAAATAAATACTTTTGGCACTATTTTCTACATGATAAGCTAGCATCACTTTTCTTTTAAGAATATAATTACCTAAGAACCTTCTAATATTTTCATACAAATAGGTCAGTAGTAGGATAACCTCACAGTGCACAAATTACTAACTAGGCTTTTGAAATGAGGCAATAATGAGAAACTGTGACCTCAAAACCTGAGTATTTTAATGTAAAAATTGGATGGACTCCATAATGCACCAGGGAATATGTATTTTGGTACAGTATCCTCTTTTGGTTTTTGAGGTTTATGAACCCATTTGTTATAAAAATTGACATATTAGCATCTCACTATCATTTCCTTATTAAAATGAGTTTGTGGTGGAATTATAATTCCACCACAAATGGTCCTGTTATGCAGTAAAATATGAGACTTTGAGAAAGTTTATTCTTGTTTGAGGTATTAGGGATTTGTTTTTAGCATTCTGTGGACATTCTTTGTAGACAGTTCCTTGGTATTAGACTTCAGAAGTGACCAATTACATAGTGACAATAAAGCCCTTTTATGCAGGGCTTTATTATTTTAATTTCTGGAAAATAATGGTGTTTTATTTTGTTTTTTAATTCAGTGGCTTGTCCCCTTTTTTGGCATGTCCTGACTAGTGATTTTTTGTTTTCTAAGTTGTTTTTGATTTTTTTTATCTTTCTAGGACAGTGTTGATCAAGAACTTCCTTCCTCTCCAAAACAACCTGTTTGTTTTACTGAGAGACAGTCAACATTGTTAAGAAAAAGTATGTGTAATTTTTTTAACATTAAATGTGGATAGTACTGCATGTTGATGTGCTCTAGGTTTTGGTATTTGATAGAAAAAAAATTTTTTTCCGGGGTAAAATATTTTTATGGTTAATTAGCAAAAAAGTTAGACTTTTGTATTAAATATGTCCGAAGATATATAACAGTGTATAAGAGAATATAAGAGAACCTGTTTTTTATGTTTTCATAATTTTTATAAAACCATATACAGCCTTGATTTTTTAAAAATGATATGTAAATATAACGCTCTTAAGAAATATGGTTGATAATTGTGGAGTTGGTGGTGGAGTTGGCTTGACCTGGAGAAGGGATGTAAGATAAGAAATAAAAATGTAAATGTATCCTAAATGTATCCTAAATGTTGACTTTGATATCTTTATAACTGAGAGAAAGTATCCAGAATATATACCCAGAAAAGATACATTATGTATCTCTTCTTTCCAAAGTGCAAATGGTCCTGTTATGCAGTAAAATTTGTACTCTTTTTTTCTTTTGGCTTTGGTTTTATTCCTGTCAAGTTATTTCCTGTTGTATTGATCACATTCCCTAAGTTATTTGGCAGTTTCCTCATATTTATTGCTACACTTTACAGCTAATATTGATCCAACTCGGAGGTATCTTTACCTTCAGGTTTTGGGTGGAAAAGCTTTCTTGGAACATCTGCAAGAACCTGAGCCTTTACCGGGACAAATTTGTTCCACCTTTACTTTATGTTTACATTTTCGAAATCAACGTTTTCGTTCTAAACCTGTTCCATGTGCCTGTGAACCAGATTTTCATGATGGCTTTTTACTTGAAGTACACAGAGAAAGCTTAGGTAAGAAGTAGTAATAAATTATTTTAATTGAACAGTCTTTGGTTTCATTACAGTATAACTATAAGGAAAGATTTATAACTTGGGGATTTCTCTAGTCTTGTTACAATTTTTCCCCATTACTCTTTTGTGTATAAACTGTTACTGTTTTTTTGCTTTGTTTTCTGCTAATTTCTCTGAAGCATATATTTTTGACAGTTTTGGTGACTTGTTCTTTAGTAAGATTTAAATGCTTATGAGATGCATGGTTCTGTGCTAGACAAGTGCTGGGGATATAGTAGAGAATGAGATGTCATCTTTCTCATTTATGAAAGGTGGTTAAATGTATAGTGTTTGATAATGTTTTAAATCAAAGTTTAGATGTGAAAATAGAACTCATTTTTTATAACTTCAAGACTGAAACGCAATTCTTGTAGCTGTGTTATACTGTTTAACTCAAATAATTTATAATTAAGATAAAGTGATACATATTTAATAACATGCTTAATGAGAGAAATGACAGAGACTCACATGGGACAGTTCTCACAGATGATTATAATTGAAATTCTTTAACACATAATATCTGTTTTTACTTTGTGAGTTCCCTTATCTATGTCTAAATAGTGACAGTTTTTCCTTGATAATGCTAGCATTTGCTCAGCATTTTACAAATTTGTGCACAAAGATTAAAACGGTCAAGTCAAATTTTAATTCTCTAGCGTATACTATTTGTTTCTGTAAAGGTATTTTTTTATGTTTTGTCAACATAGTAAACTTAGTAAGTTGTTGATGTAAACATTTGAGTTTTAAATTTTAATGTGTTTAATACACAACTAAAATTTTTTTGCTCTAGTGAAAAATGTTATCCTAATAAGACTCAATGTCTTAATAATGTCTTAATGACTTAATAATCTTGGCTCCAAGGTACTAGATCTTTCAGGTTTCTAAATATAGTAATTATTTCAGGAGATACAGGAATTGAGGTAGTTTGGAGATTAATGTTGGAATATATGAAGGCTTTTTATTGTCATAGCATATAATTTAGTCAAGTACTTTTAAAGAACAGACTTCCTTTTTTAAAGATTTATTTTATTTGTACATACAGAACTGGAGTACACGCCAGAGGTTCAGGGGCGGTGAAAGGCTTCACCAGAGACAAAGTAGGGAGCAGAACAGGCAGATAGATGAAGTACACTGCTGAGGGGAGCAGTGGGCGGATCAGGAGAGGTCTGCCGCCATGCGGTCACCTCTGGGGCGGGGATTGAACTCATGCAGAAGTGACTTTAGCTTCTTAGTGCTGTGCTTTCACCCACTGCGGCACCAGGGAGGGCCAGAACAGACTTCTTAAAGATCAGAAACACTAAAAAGCATTACATAGCTTGATAACTTGTTACAATTGTACCCCTCAAACGTTGATGGTAGAGATAGGAATGTACAACTGTTGTCAGTCAGCTGAACGCTTTGTGAAACATTATCAAATTATTCTTTTTAATTTTACATAAATATTATTTAGTATTGTTTTCTATAGTATTCTTTCAATTTACCTATCCAGATATGCAATATGGTATAATTTTCTTTGGTTTGTGTTACTAGGTGATGGAACTAGAATGGCTGATTCAACAACAATGTTATCAATAAATGATCCAATTCATATGGTGCTAATCAAAATAGATATATTTGGTGAAACCACTTTAGTAGCATCCTATTTTCTTGAGTGGCGATCAGTTTTGGGCTCAGAAAATGGAGTGACCAATCTCACTGTGGAACTCATGGGTGTAGGTATGATCATTAATAGTACTGTTAACCCTTTCATACCTATAGTTCATTTGTAAATGCATTTTATTTTTTATAAACAAGTAAAACAAATTTTGTTAGAATTACAACTGGACTCTAGTATTGCTGTCTTGGTAAATTTTTGTAGAATATTATGGGCACAGCACTTCACTAAATCTGACTTGGCTTAAATTTGTTTTTTCCTGGAAAATGAATATAGAAATTTTGAGGGCACTTCCAGGTTAATTTGATTATATATAAGACTAAAAAGAAAATTAAGATTCTCACCTTCTGCAGTAGTGATTCTTAAAGATTATAGAGTAGCATTCTTCTCACCTTTACATGTGAGAAAGTGGGTCTCAGACAGATGCTAAATTGCTCACATCAACAGTGAGCAGTACTCCTTGAAGAAAGAAATGTCTTTTTTATTCACCATTGTCTCCTTAGAATCTTATAGCCTACCCCAAATTTATTTGCTAACACATTGAAAGTTAACAAAATGTACTGATGTTTTATGCATAGAATAATGGAGCTATCTAGGTTTTGAAAATCAGTGGGAAATATAAAATTCTTGTGATATTGGTTAGCCCACATATATTGAAACCTGAAGCTCTAAAAATTCATTTTTATAGGCACAGAATCAAAAGTGTCTGTGGGAATTTTAAATATAAAACTTGAGATGTACCCACCACTCAATCAAACATTGTCTCAAGAAGTGGTGAATACACAGGTAAATCATTCTAAATTTCTCTTGTTTTCGTGTAATATATTTATGTACTGATCCTAGAAAGTGCTTTTTCTTTTCTTTTTTTTTAAAAAATCACCTTAATGAGTTTTAGGTAACATAAATGCAACATAATTTATAAAAAATTTGGAAGAAAATAGATCACATTGTCTGTAGTGTGGAGGCTGGATTGTACTGGTAGAAATGTAGGAAAAGGAACATGAGGAGACTCAGGCAAAAGAAAATAATGGTTTCAATGAGAGTGGTGATAGAGGTGTATATGGATTGTTAAATATTTTGTAGTAATTAGGGAAATTGACTAGAAATTGAAAAATACTTAATTTTTTTTTTTTTTTAATTTCAAGCTTGCTTTGGAGCGACAGAAAACTGCAGAGCGAGAGCGATTATTTCTTGTATATGCTAAGCAATGGTGGAGAGAATATTTGCAAATTCGACCCTCACATAGCTCACGGCTGGTTAAGATTTTTGCACAGGTTTGTAAGTTGTATTAGAAAAGTTTCACATCTGGTCTCTCCCTGGTGGTACAGTGGGTTAAAGCACAGCACTATGAAGCTACTGCAGCCACTGCAGCACAAGTTCGATCCCTGGCCAGGGTGGTTACCCAAATGGTGTGGCAGACATCTGACCTACCTCCTGCTCCCCTCAGCAGTGTATTTCAGTAGATCTGCCTGTTCTGCTCCCCATTCTGTCTCAGATGAATCTTCTCACCCCCTATACCTCTGGCCAGTACCCCAGTTCTGTATGCATAAATAAATAAATCTTTTTTTAAAAAAGTTTCACACCAGTATTTGAGAATTTTTTTTAATACAGATTTCATTTAACAAATTTGTTTGTTTTTCTTTTTAAAGATTTATTTATTTATGCATTCAGAACTGGGTACAGACCAGAGGTGCAGGGACAGTGAGAGGATTCACCGGAGACAGGGTGGGGAGCAGAACAGGCAGATCAATGAAGCACACTGTTGAGGGGAACAGCGGGTGGGTCAGGAGAGGTCTGCTGTGCTATGGATCACCTCCTGGGTGGGATAGCTCTGTGGCTCATCTCGGGCGGGTAGGGATCAAACTCCTACTGAAGTGGCGTTAGCTTCTTAGTGCTGTGCTTTAACTTGCTAGGCCACCAGGGAAGGCCCATTTAACTTAAATATGTAACATGTATATATCCAGACAAATGAAAGTTTATAAAAAAGAATGAATGTTTTTGTGTGTTTTTTTTTTAATTACAAAAGTTTATTTTTACATCATTTTGCACATTTTTTTTCCATCTCGATTGTAATCCCTGCGGGTTTCCCATCACCAAATCCACCCGTGTGCCACCACCATAATCCCGTGCATTTCCCTCTCCCTCCCCCCCCCCCATTTTTGATCCCATTCCCCACTCCATCCCCACAAAATGTCTCTGGTATATGGTTGTTCGTTATTTTTGTTATTTTCTCGCCTGGTCCATTATACTCCTGCTATGAGCGAAACCATCTGGTATTTTTCTTTCTCTTTCTGGCTTATCTCACTAAGCATGATCTTTTCCAGCTCCATCCAAGTTGCTGCAAAAGACATGTGTTTCTCTTTTTTGGTTGCTGAGTAATATTCCATTGTATATATGTACCACATCTTTTTTATCCAGTCATCTACTTTTGGGCATTTGGGCTGCTTCCATGTTTTTCCAATTGTAAATAAAGCAGCAATAAACATGGGGGTACAAGTATCTTTTTCAATCAGTGTTTTTGTGTCTTTTCGGTAGATACCTAGGAGTGGGATTGCTGGGTCGTAGGGAAGCTCCATGTTTAGCAGTTTGAGGAACCTCCAAACAGTTTTCCATAGTGGTTGTACTAGTTTGCATTCCCACCAGCAGTGCAGGAGAGAAAAAGAATGAATGTTTTAAGTAACTTTTTTTTTCACTGCATAACATAATACATTTTTTGTTTTATTTTGTTTTTATTTTCAATTATTTTTTTAAATCTTTTTTTTAACACAATTAGAGTAGATGAAAATCCAGTTTGTTTAATTTGGGTTGTATCCTTGATACTTAATTGCTCTGACACTGCAACAGACATATAAGCTCAGCTTTCTTTGTGCAAAACTAGGACTCTGGGCATATGTTCTTTTATTAGAGTATTTTTTAAGGTGATATTGCATGCAGTAATTTATGTGTAACCAAGATCTCTGAGTAAATGACCAGTAATATTTAACTGCAGCATTTTCACTATATAAATCTCTGCCTCTTTTGTTCCTGTTATCTTAAGCCTATTTTTCTCATTAACATACTTTCATAAAATATACAATCAAATCCATATTTTTTGTATCATTGAGAAGCCATTCCAATATTTTATGTGTAGTCAGTCTCGTACATATTTTTTTATATGAGTATAATCTAGTTTTCAACTCTCTTTCTCTCAGATCTTACGTATTTTTCTAGCTTTATTTTCTTTTCCCTAGATTTTATTATTACAAGGCAATGCCAGTATGGGTTGCCTGACTTTGGGGCACCTGTGTGCCTAAAAGGGACTTAAAAGACTCAACTGCAGACACACATAAAAAGGTTAATAAAGGGTTTATTTTTAAAAGGGGATATGAAGAAGTGAATAACTCAGGGAGAAAGAGAGGGAGATAAATTGGTGAATGCATCCTACTAGTTCCACTGAGCTGGGACTCAATAGCGTACTGAATCCCAGCAAAAACCAAAAGGCCCCCAAGGCCCACATGTCTGGTTTTATACCAAACCTGTCTGCTTAAGTATACCCTCAAGTCCCAGCAATCCTCCTTTCAGTGATGATATTATGGGATTTGTAGTTCTTGGTGTCTTGAATATCTTTGGTCTGGAGTGTAGGTGGGGTCCATAAAACCTGTTTGTGGATTTTGTTCAGGACATTTTTTCCTAATAAATTGATGGAAATGTTTTATATCAGCTTTCGGATATGCTAGCCATTAATCATGTATGGCTAATTAACAAACACGTTAATGGGTAATGTAACTAATGAACTGAATTCTAAACTTTATTAATTAAAAATTAAATGGCCACATGTGGTTAGTGGTATTCTTACTAGTGCAGTTCTAGAAGCTGAAATACTGAAATTTCCAAGTACTGCTGTAATGAAATATATCCTGAGACACTACTATTGATAATTAATATGGGAAAATGCATCTACTGTCTTGTCTGTTAGTAGAGTTAAAAGAAAAGGACTAACAATACCACACAGGAGCTAAGTATTTACATTGATTCTGACCAAACATCTATCTAGTCCCTAATGTCATTATGCATTCTACTTTGGGATAGTGGGGAATCTTATAATCCATTGTTCTTTTTTTCACTCCCCACCCTCCTTTTTTTTTGTTAATGCTGCAATAGTAATTAGTGATTATCTTTTAAATTTTCAGATGTAGGAAAATTTGTATTTTAGGATGTGACATTTAAGAACTGTTTTTTTTTGTTTGTTTTGTTTTTACAGTAAAGTGTATTTGAAATCCTATGATTGTGCATAGTCTGTAAGCTAAAATTTAAGCTTGATCAGTTCACAGAAAGTACACCCATCAGTCAAACCCAGAAAAAATGAATGTAAAATTCTGTCTTTTCTAGTAAACATTGATGCAACTAGTAATAGTAAGACAGCTAAGTTAAGACAGCTAATTTTAGTACTGCTGAAAGACGATTAAGTTTTTTTT